GTGTCTGTGTGTTTGCACGAGGAGGGCTGAGTGTTTACCCAAGAATGCTACACAATAAATGTCTGCCTCGAAAAGGAATGGCACGTAAGTACACACACACAGAAGTAGATCCAAGATTAGCAACTGTGTAGTTACAGAGAAGGAGTGGAGGAGGAAATCCATCAGTGGCCTCATCACACGCACACACACACACACACACACCTGTAGTTGAAGTGCATGACAGCCTGGAGGGCGCTGCCTCCTCCTGTGTTGATGTCTCCTTCAAAGCCCGGCAGCAGAGGCGTCACCACGTACACTCGGTATCTTTTACCCTCCCTAACAAACGTGAAAACAGACAGACGGAGATGTGATGACGTGAGGAACACGAAGGACAAAGGACAGATGTTCAGCTCCTTTGTTTTCCACTAAGCTACAAAACCAGGTCAAAGTGAGGTTTGGAGCAGAGACGGAAACAAAGACTAAGAAGGTCTAAATCTCCACAGTTTATAAAAAGTTCTTTAAAAACTGAAAACTTCTTTTCATTTGGGGAAAGACGAGTGATTTTAACAGGCCGAGACGTCTGTCAATCAAAGAAACAACCTCCGGGATCCGACCTGATGGAGAAATAAAGGCTCAACACGGATTCTCCTGAAAACACTGGACTCGACTGTTTCTACAGCGACGCTCCTCAGACAAACCAGGTCAGGTTTGTGTGTTACTGTGTGTGTGTGTGTGTCCACTGATAAGCTCTGACAACACACACACACACACAGAGAGAGAGAGAGAGAGAGAGATAGAGAGAGAGAGAGAGTAAAGCATTAATAGGAAACTGTTAAAATATAAACTGACTGAGTCACGTCACCAATTTATGATATTAAATCAGGTTATTAGTCACCTGGACTGTACACAATGTGTGTGTGTGTGTTGTGTGTGTGTGTGTGTTGTGTGTGTGTGTGTGTGTGTAAACTGGTTGTGTTTCTGGGAAGTCGTTTCAAGATAAGCCTGACTGCACACACACAAAAACAGTGTGTGTGTTTGTGTATGATTATTATGTTTGTCGAGGATTTTTTCTTCTAAATCATTTCAAGGCAAAGCATGTGTTCAATGTGTGTGTGTGTGTGTGTGTGTGTGTGTGTGTTACCTGTGCGCTCTGATGATTCGCTCGGTAATAGTGTCGCCTATCTTGTTGAAAACGTGCCGGTTATCTGCGCAGCTGATGAAGAACTGATTCTGAGAGAGAAACAAAACAAAACCAAAAAATCTTTTTAACTTTGGCTGCTTTTCAAAAAAGCCGAGCAGATGACTTCCTCTCTCCTACAGGAGAAGTTTAACGAGGGGGTAAATACATACGACACAACGACATCAACACACGATCGTTCGTATCGCTGAACTTCACATAAATAATAAGATCTGTGTTGTTGCCATGGTTTCCTGCAGAAACATTTCCCCCTGACTCAGAAACGTCCCAGTCGTCCCGTCCTCTGCTGAGTCATGGTGCGTGTGTGAATACCTCGATGTAGATGAAGTGCTGGCTGTTCTGGATGGCGTGGATGTAGGCGTTGTGGATGGACTCCTCGTGGTACTTGATGCCGGCGGACCAGTCGGAGGCCGAGCGAAGGATCTGAGAGACGGAGGGAAGACGGGACGATGACGTGCTCAGTTGTATTTCCAGTGAAAGTCACTGCTCTATCAACGTCTGACACTGATGCCAACAAAGATGGACGACATGGCAGCAGCTACCTGTACTTTGGTGGGGATGCAGTTGGGGACTTGGTAGCGCTGCTCTCCTGCTGTGGTGTGAGACTTGGGCAGCAGATAGGGGAACGACAGCGAGCGGTACTTTGGCTTCACGAGCTGGGAGACGGAGGAAAGAGTTACAGCATCACCTCGACGTGACAAATGCACGGTAAATTCACTCGCTCTTATCCGGCGACATCGCGGCCTCTGACCTTGGTGAAGTTCCACCTCTGGATGAAGTGTCTGGCCACGTCCCGAGCTGCTTTGCCGTGAACCACCGACGCGATGTCATGCCAGGGCATTCTGGGAGTTGTGTGTCTGTCGATGAAATCTGAACGGGCAGAAAGGAGAAGAAGTGAAGGGCGAGAGACAATCACAGGTTGGAAATCAAGAGTCTCGCAGTTAGTTTACCGTCGAAGGGTTTTTCCAGCTGAATCCAGTCCTTGTACACAAAGTTGCAGTAATCCTTTCCGTGCCAGAACCGCGTGTTTCCGAACAACTCTCCCACCCCCGTCCGCACCGAGCCGCTTCCTGAAACACACACGTGAACATTCGGTTACTAATAATACAAACACGTTTCTTCAAAGTTCTTTATCTTCATCCTCTTTGAATGATTTGGTTCTGATAACGTCAGCACGCGGAGGAACGAGGCTTCCTCTTTCGTTTTCACATCACAGCATAACAGAGAGAGAGAAACATGCAAACTGAAGTGAAGTCACTCTTTCACTCACCTGTGACACACTGAAAAACAAATTGGTTCCACACTGGTGAGAGTAATTGCGTTGGAGGGTGATCTGTTGTTTGCTTCCTGTTCATCTCTGACCCCTCTCGTCTATCACATCAGCAGGATAAACAGAGACGAGCCTGGCAAACAAACTGCAGGAGCTTCTCCAGCTAATAAAAACCTGCGGCAGCTGTTTTACTGCAGAACCGACACGTGCGCCTGCAAATATGGTTTGTTCAAAAATAACGATGATAAAGGTCGAGTGATAACAGGCTGCGGCATCTCGACAGATCGACTCCAGCCTTGTTTGAGGCTTTAATGAAAATCCACTCATCCTTTTCAAGCTGTTTCAGGATTTTCTCTGCTCCTCTTTTATTCAATTTGACACTAAAATCAGTGTCTGCATCCTCTCTCTAATTTTATCCTTGTGATTCATTTATTTCCACCAACTTCTTCTTTTAAAATGTCCAAACAGCTGAAAAATGCAGAGTGACGTTTTCAAATGTCTTGTTTCTGGTTGAAGTTCAGTTTAACGCACAAATCAGAGAGAAACAGTCAAACCCTCACGTCGGAGGAGCTGCAAACATCAGACGTTTGACGTTGTTGAATCTCGTCAGGAAGAAACGAGCCTCAGACTCGCACACAGAGCGACACACTCAAGTCAAGATGAGAACCTCAGCAGAGCACAAAGCGAAGCGGGAGGTGAGCGGCGGGGTCGACACCTGGAGACCCCGCGGCCCGACTCACCAGCCTGACACCGGCCCTCGGGAGCGGCCGCCCTCAGCTCGGCCGGCCTGCAGGGGATCAGACCGCGCTGGCTGCTGACGCTGTCGGACCAACCTGAACAGAGCAGCTCAAAGCACTGAGGCGGCAGCACAGGCCGAGGCTCATGCTGCCGCACGCAACTTAACAACGACACGCAGACCAGACAGAGAAGTGGAAGCAACCACAAGAGTCTGATGTTGAATTCTTGGCCACAGGTTAGAGTCGCTGAAATCCTGAATGATGCTGAAATGTTATTAATAATACATTTCTTCATTTTAGAATCTGGAATCTGAAGAGAGAGCTGCAGGTCTCCACAGAAAGTTATTTGACTGAGCGGCAGTAATCACACGAACAAATATCCTTGTTCAACAACAGCCACTGTTTCTGTATGAATCTGAAGCTTTTACACATATTTTAAAATATCAATATTACTTCATTTGGTGCGTGTGTGTGTGTGTGTGTGTGTGTGTGTGTGTGTGTCTCGTGCACAGACTCACTCTCTTCAGTCTCCAGGTCGCTGTCACTGTCGCTGTCGACAGCCTGAGCCAGGCCGTGTTTCTGCAGGTGTCTCCTGATGCTGAACTTGGTCCTCTTCAGCCT